ATTTTTACTAATTGTCAAATTTCCGAAAAGTCATTTTTGCGAATTGTCATTTTTGCGAAAAATACAATAGAAAACTTGTAGGTCTATAAATTCACTATTGTATTTTTCGCAAAAATGACAATTCGCAAAAATGACTATTCGCAAAAATGACAATTCGTAAAAATGGCGATTCGCAAAAGTGACCATTCGCAAAAATGTCATTTCTTTAAAATGACCATTCGCAAAAATGGCAATTCGTAAAAATGACTTTTCGCAAAAATGACATTTCACAAAAATGTCTTTTCGTAAAAATGACAATTCGCAAAAATGAGTTTTCGAAAAATTGACAAATCGTAAAAATGACGATTCGCAAAAATAACTTTTCAGAAAATTAACAATTCGTAAAAATGGCCATTCGCAAAAATGACAATTTGCAAAAATAGCTTTTCGCAAAAATGACAATTCGCAAAAGTGACATTTCGCAAAATTGGCTTCTCGCAAAAATGACTATTCGCAAAAGTACAATTCGGTAGAATGACATTTCGGAAAAATGACATTTGGGGAATAATCATGCGTCCCGTCGCTGATTACGAATATGAAGATTAATTTTAAAAATTCAAAATGGCGGATCTAATATGGCGGATAAAATTTTTTTTAAATCTATAAAATTGCATGAAATTTCTTACTCGGTTTTTGGGGTCGCTGATTGCGAATATGAAGTTTATTTTTTAAAATTCAAAATGGCGGATCCAATATGGCGGATAAAATTATTTTAAAATAGATAAAATTGCATGGAATTACTTACCCGAGGGTTTTCGGGGTCGCTGATTACAAATTTTAAAAGTGCAATTTTAAAAATTGAATACTTCAAATTCAAAATTTCTAGTTGTTTTACAGAGTTTATTTTGTTTGTTAGCCGTCACGTTTTTCTGCAGTTGCCCAACTCTCACCACGTGGAGGTCGATAAAGTTTTTTAAGTTTGTCTTCTTTTTTTTAATTTTTTGAACAATTTTTAAATATTTTTTTGTATTTTTTAATTTTGTTGTAGGTACTTTTTCATTTTTAAATTTTTTTGTGTTTTTAACTGTTTTTATGTTTTATTAAGAAATTTGTTATAACATTAAAATTAGTCGACCTTGACGTGGTGAGAGTAATCAGCGACCCCGAAAACCCTTGAGTGAGTAATTCCATGCAATTTTATCCATTTTTAAAAATTTTTATCCGCCATATTGGATCCGCCATTTTTAATTTTAAAAATTAAACTTCATATTTGTAATCAGCGACCCCAAAAGCCTCCGAGTGAGTAATTTCATGCAATTTTATCGAATTTAAAAAATTTTTATTCTCCATATTAAATCCGCCATTTTTAATTTTAAAAATTTAACTTAATTTTCGTAATCAGCGACCCTAAAAACCCCCGAGTGAGTAATTTCATGCAATTTTATCGATTTTCAAAAATTTTTATCCGCCATATTGAATCCGCCATTTTGAATTTTTAAAATTAAACTTCATATTCATAATCAGCGACCCCGAAAACCCCCGAGAAGTAATTTTCAGATGATTTAAATTAAGTTTCAAATATTGATGATGCATTTGCTATTTATCAAGTATTTTGCTTTGATTTTTCTGCCCTTTTGGATCCGCCATCTTGAATTTTCAAGTTGTCAAGTACACAGTTCGAAAGTACAACTATTTTATCCACCTATAGCATACATGAGACCCGCCCAAAAAAATCTTATTGATGAGGCATTATTTCTCAAACGTCCCAGCCCAAAAAAAAAGTCTTGGGATTGGCTTCATATTTTGGGAAATTGTTATCCTATATGAAAGTAATAAATTTGCAAAATATTAGTTCTTTTAAAAAAAATCTAGAAAGTAGTGGGGGTTGAAGTTTTGACATTTTCAGTGACACTGTGATTTTCAAAACCATATAACTTTTATAACACTTTACCGTTTTTAATGTTTCTATAATGCATTTAAAGCATTTTTCATGTACTTTCTAAAAATTTTACAAACAAATTTTTAAAAAAACTTTTAACCCTCTTTTTTTAAAAAATAAAGTTTATTTTTTCATTTTGACCCAAATGGGTATTTTTAAATTTCTTTTTTTTATTTTTATTGGAAAGCTGACATATTTTTCAAAAAAAAACATATATGTTTCATAGTGGGATGGCCACAAGTTTAGAAGATATTTAAAAACAAACTAAGCGGCGCGCCCGCGTCACTGTACGTTACCCAGTAAAAAAAAACTAATTCAAATGAATTGAAACGAATTAACATTTTTGGTAGGCTCCAATTCGTATTTGTCACAAAGCGGGATTCACTCAAGCTCTTTGTATATTCAATTGAATTTAATTCAATATGTACCAATTTGTCCAAACGAATTCGCATTCGAAAGAAATGGCCAAGGAATGCATTGAATTCGTGCTAACGAATTGAAAAAAATTAAAGGCTCAAAACTTGTCCAGTGAATTGGTACGGATAGAAGGTTCGGAAGTTCAATACAGTTTCACGAATTCAGGAAAATTGCATCATGGCTCCAATTCGTATTTGTCACAAAGCGGGATTCACGAAAGCTCTTTGTGAATTCTTTTTAATTCATTTCAATTAGTTTTCGTTTACTGGGTACGCTGTCGCTGCGCCGTTGAACGACACAAATATTACTGTTTCCTCTTCATCTGCTTCAGTAAAAGCTCTCTGCATTCTACAGGGTTAAGACTGTCATAAAAGTAATGCCTGCATTACTGTTACTAAAAAAAATTTTAAATAATTAATTTTGAAAACAGAAGGGTAAAGCTTAAAAAAATTTTGACTGAACAATTTTGAATAAATAATAAAATTATAATTATAAATTTAATTGACGAGATAATAAATCATTTTTTTTTATTTTTTACTCGGTTTTTTTAGAAACTCCTGGAGTAATTCTTTTTACTTTTTTTAGGAAAATTATCAAATTCAAAAATTCCATAGTCTTCAATATTCTCCAAATAATCGAATTTTGACTGCAAAAGTTCTTTTTGACTAGACGCAAAAATATTGTAAAGAAACCCAAACATTTTACAGTGTCAAAGACATCTACTTTGAGACAGCAAAAAATATTAAAGAACAAATTAGATAATGCTCAAACTATACAAGGGATTTGATAATTTTCCTAAAAAAGTAAAAACAATTACACCACGAGTTTCTCAACAACAAAAACCGAGTAAAAAATGAAAAAAATTATGTACTATCTCGTCAATTAAATTAAAAAAAAAACTCTTTCAACTTTAAACCCAAGTTAACAATAATACTAACGCAGGCTTTTCAAAATTACATATACATATAAATCTTTATTTCGATTGAATCAGAAAAGTATTTGATTTTCAAACATTAAGCTTTCTTTTTCAAAATTAATTTATTTATTAAAAATAATTTTCTTTATAATTATAATTTTATTATTTATTCAAAATTGTTCAGTCAAAATTTTTTTAAGCTTTACCCTTCTGTTTTCAAAATTAATTATTTAAAATTTTTTTTAGTAACAGTAATGCAAGCATTATTTTTATGACAGTCTCAACCCTGTAGAATGCAGAGAGCTTTTACTGAAGCAGATGAAGAGGAAACAGTAATATTTGTGTCGTTCAACGGCGCAGCGACAGCGTAACGTACAGCGACGCGGGCGCGCCGCTTAGTTTGTTTTTAAATATCTTCTAAACTTATGGCCATCCCACTACGAAACATATATGTTTTTTGGAAAAAATGTCAGCTTTCAAATAAAAATAAAAAATTTTTTTTTTAAAATACCCATTTGGGTCAAAATTAAAAAATAAACTTTATTTTTTAAAAATAGAGGGTTAAAAGTTTTTTTAAAAATTTTTTTGTAAAATTTTTAGAAAGTACATGAAAAATGCTTTAAATGCATTATAGAAACATTAAAATCGGTAAAGTATTATAAAAGTTATATGGATTTGAAAATCACAGTGTTACTGAAAATGTCAAAACTTCAACCCCCACTACTTTCTAGAATTTTTTTTAAAAGAACTAATATTTTGCAAATTTATTACTTTCATATAGGATAACAATTTCCCAAAATATGAAGCCAATCCCAAGACTTTTTTTTGGGCTGGGACGTTTGAGAAATAATGCCTCTGATGTGAAAAGCGTGTTTAAAAAAAAACATACGATTTTTTCAGTATTTTCTCCATTTTGGGCGCCATATTGGTTTCCCTGATGGTCGAAATGCTTTTTTGACCCCGGATTCTGAAAGAGCGGACCTCAATACCCCCTAGTACCGAAGGATTTTTAAAAGTCTAATCATTCAGGATAAAAATTCTTACCTTGAACTTCAGTCAAAAGTTTTGGACATTTGGGCGTTAATGGGATAAATTGCTTCACGATGTCATGTGGCGATTTGGTTGAGCGCATTAATGCGCTATCCCAGCAGCACACTTGGAGGCCTATGACTTGTGGTTCGAGTCCGCTGACCCTCATGTGCTGTAGTTATGAAAATCCTTTTTTTTTATAAAACTAATTTTTTTATTTTATAATAATGCAAAATATAAATATTTCATATTTTTTAAAGCTTTTTTAATAATAATTTCATTAACAAAAATATTAATAGTTTTTGGAAACTTCCTGGTAACTTCCAGGAAACTTACTTTGAAAACTTCCAAAAAATTTCCACCGGTAATTTGCAGGAAGCTTCCAAGAAAGTTTCCAGGAAACCTCCTGGAAGATTCCATGGGAAACTTCCAAGTGCGGACATTGGTGTATGTTAGAGAATTTTCCAGGAAGCTACCGAAGGTAACTTCCGAAGTTACCACGGAAAACTTCCTGGAAACTTTTTTGGAGTTTTTGTGCTATCTGGGTAAATGTGCAATAAAAAATTATTAATTTATTTTTTATTTAAGTGCCTCAGACGAGACAATATCGGAAACATTTTCATCCAATCTGGTAGACGTAGAAAATTTTGATGAGACCGAGATAGTATCGGAGCTGGTGTCCTCATTATCAACCTCGCGAGGACCCTGGTAATTACTTACTTGCTGATCGATGTCACTAATCCAACTCTCGATGTTCTTCTTATACTCCTTCAATTACTTCAAACTTGTCAAGCAACCCAGAAGACTGATCTAGATCAAAATTTGACGCCATTCTGATCTTATTACTCTTGACTAAGTGAATCTGCTTAGCCGGAAGTCCAAATGTTGTCGAAACTCGGCAGAGAGATAATCCCACGAAGATTCTCGTTCAATTAATCGATCTACAAAAACAATCTTATAACAATTGCAAACTTCGTCGAGGTATTTTCAAATTCGAAACTGAATACTTGCCAACAATTTTACCAACTTTATCTGTCAATTGGACTGTACCCGGGCCATAAATTTTTGAATGAAATCAAAACAGGGCCTAAGTAAAGATGAGCCAGCTTCGAGGAATAACCTTCTGCTTTATTACTAAGCTTTTTGTTCGGATAATAAACCTCCATACCTACTTTAAGCTCAACTGACATTCCTCGATCAGCATTCGACCTGGCTAGTCGCTTTTCAGAATAAATTTGTAATTTATTCTTAATTTTATGGCGAAATTCGTCAATGATCTTCATACGATCAACCCAAGTCTTTGCCACGTCGTCGGCAAGAGCGTCAATGCTCATTTCGGTCTCGCTTGATTTAAAATCTTGCTTGGCAGTAGGCTCGCGACCGTGATTCAAGAAAAACGGGGAGATACGAGTACCTGTATGAGGCACAGTATTACATGCAAATTGTATTTTCGATAGATTCTCATCCCATTCTCTATGGTCCTGACCAATGTACGCGGAAATTATATGCTTTATTAGTGATGCACTTCGATACGAGAATCTCGACTCTCTCGTAGATTTATAATCGCTGTACGAGAAATTTTAAAATCAAGCTTCTCATATGTTTTTTTGTTATTTCTCGTCTGTTTCTTTTTTTAATAGTTTCAATGTTTTGACATTTTTCTCGTTGAATTCGTTAGCCAGACAACCTCTCACTAATGCGAAATTTTACACTTTTAAAAACGTGAAAACTGAGAAGAAACATGGAAGTTTCCAAGTAATTTTAAATCATTCATAATAATTTTTAACTTTATTACTTACATTGATAAGTTTATTTCAATTAATAAATAGAGATTCTCATTTGGATTCAAATCTCCCACCTAACCCTAAACGGCGTAAATTGAATGGAAAAGCCTTAGAAGAATCATTTGAGTTTCATACCGACGAAAAAGGAATAAAATGGGGCAAGTGCAAACTTTGTTTTTCAAAAGTACCTCCTGTGGAAAAAGTGATTAAAATGACTGCAAGTAATACTTCGGGAATTAAACGGCATCTTGAAAAATTTCACCAAGAGGAATACAAAGAAACTTACCCTCATGCCAATAACTCCGAAAAAGTAATTTTTAATTTTCTTTTCTCAAATTGTTTACCATTTAATTTATTTGAATTTATTTAAAAAGCTTTTAAAAAATATATTTCTCAATACTCTGAATTAATTGAATTGAGATATAAAATTGTACGAACTAATTTTCAAAAACTCATTTAAAATATAACTAATAATAAATGTTCACTAATATTATTAAATTGAATATAAAAAATATTATATTTATTATTTTTGATATAATAAAATATAATCAAATTTATACTTAAATTATTTCTTATTAAAAGAAAATTGTCCTTTTTCTTCAATTACAATTTTTATTCATTAAAACTTTTTTGAAAATAATATATTTTAACCTTTATTACCATAGAAAATTATTATTTTTTATTTTTTATTGTTGCAAAATAAGATTTTTAAAAGAAAAACAACATGCACAGTATTAGTGCTGAAAAATGATAATTAGTAATTTGTTGTTCATTTTACGGCTCTTAATATACTAATTAAAAATGTTGTTTTACCTACCAACTATTACAAATATATAAATCCTAAATATTGTTTTTAAAAATCTCCAAATTTGAATTGAGCAGACTAAAAATCATGTTTTTATTTATTAGTTAGAATGTGAACTAAATTTTTAGAATTTATTAGAACATTCTTCACAAAAAATTTCAATATCGGTGAAATCGGGACCCAGGCCGGAGCCAGGTTAGATTTCTAAATCTGGCCCCGACCACGGCCTGAATAAAATTTCTGCACTAGTTCTAATAGATAAAGCTGATCTTTTAATGGAATAATAACATACTCAAAATTTTGCAGCGTTTGGATAAAAAAATATTGGAGGAAAAACTTGTTGATTGGGCAGCAAAAAAGTATCTCCCTATAAATTTCTTTGATGACAACGAAACTCGAGAATTATTTGCTTATTTGAATTCTACTGTTGAAATCCCTATGCGAAACAAAATGAAGACACTTGTGATAAATAGATTTGAAAAAATGCAGGCTGCCGTAAAAAATATTTTACAAAACAATAATTCGAAACTGTCGTTCACCTTAGACGGATGGTCTTCTATAACCCGCAAGAGTTATACTGGTATCACATGTCACTTTATCGATGATAATTGGGATTTACATTCCCTTCTCGTTGACTTTGTTCCTTCTCTTGGATTGCATGCTGGTAAGGACATAGCAGTATCCTTTTACGAGACTGTGGAAGATTTTAAAATTACCGACAAAGTCTTAGGAATCACAGTAGATAACACGAAAGCAAACTTCAAGTTTATGAAAGAATTATCACATTTAATGACATTTGATCATAAGAACCAACATTTTCAATGTTATCCACACATTTTAAATATTGCGGTTCAAGCAATGTTGACACATCTGGGACTTGAAGTGATTAGAGAAGAAAATGGTATTGGTACTGAAGAAGGAAATAAAGATAACGATGATGACGATGATGATAATAATGATGATGATGATGATGCTGACAAAGAGAAGTCGAATGATGCAGTAAACGAAATTTTAATAAATGTCGAAACAACTTTTCAAGAATCTCCTTTAACAAAATTACGAAACTTATTTAAATTGTTAAAAAATTCCGAGCAATGGAAAAATAAGCTCGAAAGCAGTTGTCAGCTTTGTGGCATAAAAATGCTTTCTCCAAACATTGATGTCAAAACCAGGTGGGATTCTACATGTGACATGATCAATTTGGGGTTACGATTGCAGAAAGCCTTAGTTTTGCTTTGCGAAAACAATAATGCTTTGAATCGATTGATCATCTCCGACAATGAATGGTTACTGCTTCAGGAAATTTATAAGTATCTGCGTCACTTTAAAGTATTATCGAAAATATTAGGCGGAGAAAAGTATCCTACATTAAATTTAGTCATTGTGGGATTTAATATGCTGCTTGACAAAATGGAAGAATCGATTAATCAATTAAAGAGTAAAGTTCGCAATTCGATTGAAGAAAATATGTTGTCGGCTTTAGAAATAGGATTGGAAAAACTACTTAAACATTATGATAAAAGCAATTGGATGTACTGCGTGGTGCTGATTTTAGATCCAAGATATAAATTAGAAACTTTCAATGCAACAAATTGGGGAATAGAAATGAAAGCTTCATCGTTTGAGATTTTTAAGAGAATTTTCAAAACTCAGTACTACAAGGAACCTGAGCAAACGGTATAAGTAACTTTACTTACTTTTCATTAATATTTTTAAAATTATCTGTTTCTAAAAGAAAATATTTAAAGATTTGTCAACCATTTTAAAGATTATAAATATAAATTCTAACTTTTTCATTATAAAACTATAGGCAGACCCTAATTATGTTGAATCTGTGAATCAGCCTGGATCCGAAAATGAAGACGATGGACTTTTAGATGTTTTTTCCTTATTTAAAGGAAACAAAACATCGCCTGCGACATCAGCGAGAAATGACTGGCTAAGGGAAGTCAATTTGTACACTGCAGAAGAAAGAGCAGTAGCAACAGTCGACGTTTTGAAATGGTGGAAGATGAATGAAGAAAGATATCCTAGTCTGGCACGCATGGCTCGAGATTTTCTAGCAATTTCGGCATCTTCGATTCCTTCGGAGCGTATTTTTTCACGCAGTTCTCTGACCGTTAGAAAGCATCGAAACCGCTTGAATGATAGGTCTATTAGATCGTTGATGGGAGTAAATTCTTGGGTTTCTTGCTCTCTTTCAAAAATTATAAAATTAGCAATAGCCGATTAACAAAGTGTTAATTTTTCTTAATTTTCTGGGGGTTTATTTCTTAATATCGTAAAATTTAACGAAAATGTGCAAATGTAAAATTGTATACAAGAAAATTGTTTTTTGTTCACAACTTCTTGTATAAAAATTTTAATTTATAGTTCATTTACCTTGAAGTGTAATAAAGATTTCTTTATTAAATTATTTTCTTACAGAATTACAATAGGTATAATATTCAATCTCAATGTCAAATTTACTACCACAGAAGTTAATTAAATCCGTCTTTATAGCATTTTTATCAAATTTTTAAACCAATTAAATAATTGCGATGAATTAGAAAATTAGTTATATAAAAAGAAATAGGGAAAATACCACCAAAAATAAGAATGTCTTTCTTCAAATTAAAACATTTTTCAAAAAAAAGAATGTTTGTTTAAGTTTTTGTAGTCAAATGAACACTTTTCTGTTTTGTTCTAAAAGATGATTCACAATATGTAATTCTTTAATTAATTATAATTATTCGTTAAGTAATTATCATTAAGATTGTTGTTGTTCATTTTCCAAATTGTAATCACAATTACATATAATAACCATTTAAATAAGATAATTATTGTGTTCAAATTATATTTTGTTAATTATATTACAATAAATTATTTACATCTCAAAGCAATCATTTCTTTTAATTGTAAGTAAAATCAATGAAAAAGAATTATTCATATTATTTTAAAGTAAAAAAAGTTTTAAATAAAATTGTAAATATTTTTATTCATCAATAAAAACTACAATTTATTTAAATTAATCTCTTTATTTATAATAAAAGAAAATGATTTATTTAATTAATTAAATTAATTATTACGAATTGTAACTAAAAATATTATTCAGTAATATTGACATGAAGATTGTTGATATTTGTTTTATTATTAGACAAGTCTTTGATGATTCTCGACAAATTCAAGTTCTTTAACAAACAAAATGTAACGAGACGCGATCTCGCCAGAAAAAAACTGTCATCTTGTCTGAATGTGGTTATTTCTCGATTGATTTGATCGAAGTGCA